TTTGTACTGACCAAGTAGTCTTTTTAGGTTTTGTTGTAAGTTCTCAGGGGCTGAAGGTCGATGAGGAGAAGATCAAGGCGATCCAGGACTGGCCCACGCCGACCTCGATTGGACAAGTCCGCAGTTTCCATGGTCTGGCCAGTTTCTACCGACGGTTCGTCAAGGACTTCAGTACCATTGCTGCTCCAATGACATCCGTGATCAAGAAGCATGTATCCTTTACTTGGGGCCCTGCCCAAGAAGAGTCTTTTAACAAGCTTAAATATAGTTTGACTCATGCACCAGTCCTTACTCTGCCTAACTTCGATAAAACTTTTGAGATTGAGTGTGATGCATCAGGTACCGGCATAGGAGCTGTGCTAACCCAAGGAGGCCGGCCAGTAGCCTTCTTTAGTGAGAAATTGAGCGGAGCTGCCCTCAATTACCCTACCTATGACAAGGAGCTGTACGCTCTAGTGAGGTCACTCGAAACTTGGCAACATTATCTTTTGTCTAAAGAGTTTGTTATTCATACAGATCATGAGACACTTAAGCATCTGAGAGGACAAACCACACTCAAGAAGAGGCATGCCAGGTGGCTTGAGTTCGTGGAGACCTTTCCATACGTGATTAAGTATAAGAAGGGCAAGGATAATGTGGTAGCCGATGCACTTTCCAGAAGACACGCCCTTATCGCAACCATGGAAGCTAAGATCATGGGTTTTGAATTTATTAAGGATTCTTATGCTACTGACCTTGATTTTCAAGAAGCTTTCAGGAACACTGAGAAAGGGGCCTACGGTCCGTACTATCAGCATGAAGGTTTCCTGTTCAAGGAAAAGCGGTTATGCATTCCCAAAGGGACGATGAGGGAATTGCTGGTCCGGGAGGCCCATGGTGGCGGCCTCATGGGGCACTTTGGTCGTGACAAAACCTTAAGTGTCCTAACCGACCATTTCTTTTGGCCGAACATGAAGAGGGACGTTGAGAACCTATGCGCCAAGTGCATTACGTGTCTTAAGACAAAATCCAGGTCACATCCTTTCGGTTT